ATTGGCTCACCTAGGTGTGGGGGCGAACATTATATTTATCTCAATATAAATATTTTTGTTATTTTTTTGTTATTAAAATACAATTACAAACACAACAGAACAAAAATACAAATTAAAGTGCCCCATTATGCCATTTTTAAGTTTCCTAATATTGTTTTGGAGTCTTCTACAATAGGTTTACATGCATGCAAGGTAAAAAAAAAAAAGCTTTTGTTTTCTCAAAATATGCATTTAATATCTCCTCATTTTCCAATGATTCTCAAACGATTCGTTCGAAGCAGTTCTAAGATTCAGAGAACTGAATTCACGATCGCATGCTGTCTGAGAGAGACTCTTTCTGTGCGCTTCAGGTGTGTGTCGTTCCGCGCATTGAGTTCTTCACTGCATGTTGCACTTCACTCAATATTTAATAACTTAATATTTAACACCTAGCACGTTCCACTCTTTATTTCCTCATTCATGCATGCTTCTTTATCACTCTTAGGTCAGGTGTTTATAACTTTTAAGTAGTACTGTGCTACGCGGATATATTTGCATATCGTGAAATAAACCATATAGCTAAGTCCTCTGTACTTGCGTTCTTGAGTATTGGACTTGAACTTCGACAGTTGGTGATGACGAGGTACAAGAACCCATGGACACAAGATCACTTAAGAACGCATACTGAGAAATGACCATTGAATGCTGTTCAAAGAAAGCAGCCCAAGCTGCACCTCATAATGTTGAAAGTGTGAAAATCTGTGCAGAGCTGGAATCTGAAAGAAGGGTTTGCTTTATGTTGATGGGCAAAGTTCTCAGCGCTTCTCAACACTCCTGCTCTCTTTGTTTATCAGTTATTTTTGCTTGGTCTGTTTGGTGGAAAGGTTAGTTTGTGGCTGGTTACCTGTGCCGTGCGCTGGTTAGTTCAGTGTGTGTTTGGGGTCTTTCTGTAGCGTCTGAGTGTTTGGCCCCTCCAGCAGAGATGTGCTCATTGTGTTCAGAGTAACCCGAGTGCTGAGAGCGCGGTGGCCCGTGAGAAAGGGTGTGCACAGCTACAGGCCCGCAGTCTAGGCTTACGTGCAGGATTCCCAGCCGCTGGCTCTTCCACATCCCACCTGCGTGGCCCACAATGCCTCTTTGTTCCTGCCCCATGGCACTGTGGGATAGCTGTTATCTGAGAGGCAGGGGTTGGCCACCACCAACTTTCTCATTCAAAGTAAAGATGGTGAATTCCTGCTCTCCGGTTTCATCATGGCTGGCTGAGGCTCGTGAGAGCTGGTTTCTCTTAGTGTGGGAGTGAGCTGTTCTGTTGTTTACTTGCATGCTTACAGTGTTGCCACTTGATTCACGTTAAAACCGTGCTGTTCTCGTCCAGAGCACTGAGTGTGAGAGAGAGTATTTGTCAGTGCAAACAATTCGTCTGTACACCAGAAAACTTGACACCGTCTGTGGATTGATAATGAAACATTTATCAATGTTCTTGCACAATAAGACCAGTTCCTATTGAAAATACCAGTGCTGTTACCACCTGCTAATGAACACACATCCTTATGTTAAACGTTAATGTAAATATTAACAAATGGAATTACAAAAATGGCATGTAACCAAATATTTAACAATTATGTGAAGATTTTTATCCAAGCAGCTGTTCAAGTTAAAAGTAAATTAGTATTAACAAAGAAATGCATTGCGAAGAATAGTACAAATAAACCCATCAGAACAAGGAGACAAATGTTTTTCAGGTATTTAAGAGCAGCATCAAATATTCAAATAAACATTTGCGAATTGGGGAGAAAAAGCTTAAAGTAATCATAAAAAAATTATAATGTTATTAATAAAAAGAACAAAAACGGCAATCAAGGGATGTCTATTTTCGGGCTTTATTTTATTTTATTATTAATCTATTGTATTATAATGTTTTATTTTACCTGTAATTTTTAGGGATGGGAAAAATAAGGTGTTAATTTCTATGTTAATATGTGCTAACTATATGTGCTAAGTAAAGACAAAACAAAATGTGATATCATATGTTTGCAGGTATTTATTGTTATTATTATTATGTGCTTATGACATTTATTTAAATGAAAAGTTACAGCTCATCATGTCCTATAATTGTTGTTAATAAATGACAGTCTGGTAATTTGCAGTTAGGCTTGTTAATGATGGCTTTCAGTTCTAATTTTTAATGGATAGAATTGCTAATTTTTTGCTTAGAAAAAATCTATTTAATAAAGCTATTAGTATTGGTGATACTGGCCTTGGTTATTTTAAATATACTTGGTTAATTTCACATTAATTTGGCTATTTAATGTCTATATTTAAGACAAAATTTCAATAAGTGTGGATTAATCACAGAATCTTGTGCGATTCGCTGAACTGAATCAATTCAGAGTCTTGGTTAATTTGTTAAATACATATACGGATACATTGCTTGATGTGACAGACATGCACGCTTACAATCCCACAGCAAAGGTTTCCTGAAAATACCGCTGTGATCAGTGAATCAAACTAGTACTGGAGTGTGGGGTGGTTGTCTTCAGGCATGTAGTTGCTTGACCTTCTGTTTTGAAACCACGGCTGGCTGTATTTTTAATACGGCACGTCAAGTTAAACCTCCCAGTCCAGTGAAAACGCAAGCAGGTGGTGCCATCTCTCTTCTTTTCCTGGAGCTTGCTGTGATTTTCATTATTGACGCAAACCATAGCCAATATTTTATCACGGCTAGCCTCACTGTCAATATTGAAACTGTAGCAAAACATGTTATTCATGTGTGTATATATATAGTTTTAGAATCACTGGATTAGTAATTGGATTAGCAGCACTAGTGTTTGGTGAAGTATTAACAGGCGGTTGGTCAGCAGATAACGGTTCTGTAAAATAGTAGCTGTTTTTGCAGTTGCTGAGACGGCACTGCACTTCCTCATTTGGTTTGAATGGGGGAGCACAGGAAGTCTGGCTTTCCTGTCCTAGGTGTTATTGTTACGCAGCGCTCACTGCTGCTCATTGAGGAAGCCGAAAGAGCCGATGGGACACCAGTGATCCTGCTGCTGGGTAAAGATGGAGACGCTCCACCGCTGCCTATCTCTCGCTCCTCATCCTGCTGCCACATGTGCCACATCCTGCTCTCTTTCTCAGCCCTGTTTCTGTTTTTGTTCTGTCTCTCTCTATCTCTCTGTCTCTGCTGGGTGGTTTAGGGGCTTTTCCACCATTCTCTTTAATGATGGTTAATGAGACCCTCAGTTCTGATTTTGATCTTGTGTGAATTGGTACATGACGCAGTTCTTCCTCCATTCACTACATGCTACAAAAAGGCTTTTTTGTGACATGAAATCTTTTGTTGTAGAACCATTACAACTCTTTTCCTCACGTTTCACAACTCCTTGTCAAACAAACGTGCATGCAGTTAATAGGGGTGTAACGAAACATCCATGTGGAACGATGCATCAGTCTAATGACTAACAATATGATGTATCGATACAACACGTAAAAACTCGAGATATAGATGTTAGCCACATCTGCACATAATGTCTGTCGACCATACTGCACATTTCTGTCAAAGTGTGCATTCTCTTTTAAACCGTGCAAGCACCAGACAAATGCGATTTAGCAGTACTGTCAGTCAGATTAATTCAGTCTCCTAAGAGTCATTTATTCTTGGATAAGACTGCTTTGCATTTATCGCTGCATATTGTGTTGTTCCTCATTTGTAGATCACTTTGGATAAGTGTCTGCTAAATTAATACATTCACTGAAGGCAGCCAGTGAAGCCAGTGTGTTGTTGGATTAATGTCTTTTAGTTTTTGTTGTAGCCAGCTTTTTGTCTCATCACATTCAATTTTGACTGCAAACAAACAAACAAACTTTTGTGTGTGAATATTTATTTTGTTGTGTGTCTAGAAATGCATAGTTGTAACAAAGCTTACACAGAATCTGCACAATGTATAATGACTGATGTAATAGTTTGCTGTCTTTGTTTAACAGTTATGTCTAATAAAATATAAATGGTAAGCGGTATATGAGTCCATTATATCATTAGCCTTTCTATTATTAGTAAATATGATTCCCAGTGCAATACAGGCTTACCAGATTCATGAGAGTTAATTCATGTTTAGTCATACTATAAGGGTTCTTTCACACTAGCACTTTTGGTGCCCACCCCGATTCTTTAGACGTCAGAGTTTGATTTATTTGGATTATGTGAACGCCGTTAAGATGCAAGTGCCCTTATATTGTTGCGTCTGTTGACGCTTTGGAAACAAAACCAAAGGTTCATAAACCAATGAATTAAAGTGAGGCGAGCATTGCTTTGCATTCTGTTTTCTCCTCCTCATTTGCAAATAGTTTTAATTTAGTAAATATATGCACAATAAATATTTATTTCATTGCAGTGTTATTTACTATATGTGACCCTGGACCACAAAACTAGTCATAAGGGAAATGGAGATTTATGCATCATCTGGAAGCGGAATAATAAGCTTTCCATTGATGTATGGTTTGTTAGGATCGGACAATATTTGGCCGAGATACAACTATTTGAAAATCTGGAATCTGAGGGTGCAAAAAAATCTAAATATTGAGAAAATCATCTTTAAAGTTGTTCAAATGAAGTTCTTAGCAATGCATATTACTAATCAGAAATTAAGTTTTGATATATTTACAGTAGGAAATTTACAAAATATCTTTATGGAACATTATCTTTACTTGAAATGATTTTTGGCATAAAAGAAAAATCAATAATTTTGACCCATACAATGTATTTTTGGCTATTGCTACAAATATACCCCAGCGACTTAAGACTGCTTTTGTGCTCCAGGGTAATATTTTAATTAAATAGTTTGATATCACATTTTTCGGCTTGATATTGGCCACTGGTCACCCTTCTTGGTCATAAAAATATCCATATCGTTCAACCACTAGTACACATCTGTGCTGATTGCAGGAAAATATCTGTGGAATTCTGTATGAATATGGTAAGATATTAGTTCACACACACATGCTTATTAGCGTTCTGCTCTTTGCAGTCGGGACATGGAGAGCAAGGAGACTCTGCGCGGGCTACAGAAGATAGAGGACCGGCCAGAAGAGCGCTTGATCCGAGAGAAGCTCAAGGCCACCTGTATGCCCACCTGGAAGAGCGAGTGGCTGGAGAGGCGCAGCAGGAGAGGCCCGATGGTACGGGACAGTTAAACATCTTCTTTTTTTTCTTTTTTTTAATCTAATCAGATCACATTGTCACCAAACAGCATTACTGATTTTCTGCGATACTACTGTTAACAATTAAATCACTGGATTAATTAACTAGTTAACTATTGTTAACTACTGTTAATGGTTAAATCATTAGATCACATGCCCTGTTACCAAAAAATAGTTGAAAAATGTTTGGACGAAGAAACAGGAAGTGAGAAGTTCTGAAGTGGAACGGCTCTTCCTGAGTTCAGCGTGCCTTCCTTACATAACCATCAGAACAATCAACCCTGTTGACGGACTTTCACTCTGTCTGCCTTAACGCTACACTGCAGATTCACTGACACTAGGCTGTAACGTTTTCTCACCGGAAATAATAATTTACAGTACTACAAAACATTAACAAGAAGGCTTTTAAACTGTTAATCTGTGAACGGGGCAGTGATTGATCAGTGTCAAGAGATTTCAGTGTCCAAATATTGGCAGATATGACTCTACAAGACAAAATAAAAAGGCAAATGAAGGCACAAGAAACAGGATGGAAATGGCTTTTGTTTTTGTGTGATTTTATCAGTGTTTTCTTGCATCATCTAATCTCAGGTAGTGAAGCCCATTCCTCTGAGAGCAGACGGCACTGAGGCGGGAAGCGACAGTCACAGCTCATCTTCCTCTCAAAGCAGAGGTCATCGCAGCCCTTCGCCTGGACCTTCCTCTTCCTCCACTAAGACCACTGGGAAGCCTGATTCTCCTGGTCTGCGCAGACGGAGAGGATCCCCGGTGCCTGTGAGTTTGTCACATTTGTTGTCATCTGTTGTTATTCAGGTCAAGTCAGTTTAGATTCAAGTCTGATTCAGTTTAGTTCAATAACAGTGTTGATATTGCAAAATGCATCAATAATGAAATGAATTCAGTTCAGCTATGACGCATCTCTATGGAAGACAATTGAATCCTCCAAATCGATTCAGTTTTTTTAAGTAAGCATCTTAAAAAGGTCTCAATATGTTTTGCTATGAAGCTAACGTGTTTGTTTGAACATGTCGCTACAGAGCGGGAGGGTGACGCCCCCTCGGAGAGCTCCCTCCCCTGATGGCTTTTCCCCATATAGTCCAGAGGAGACCAACCGCAGGGTCAGCAAGGTCATGAGAGCCCGTCTCTACCTGCTGCAGCAGATAGGACCTAACTCGTTCTTGATTGGCGGAGACAGTCCTGACAACAAATTCCGGGTGTTCATTGGTCCACAGGTAAGCTAATACAGGCCTCTGACATGTCATTTGGCAAATAAATATGATGTTGATAAGCTGAAATTACTTTATTATGAGAGAAGACACTCATATAGAACTAGGCATGGAACTAAAACAGCTAGTTGGAGATCGGTTGCCTGGGACAGCGGACAATTCTCTACAGCAGGGATGGGCAGCTTCGGTCCTGAAGCTCAAACACACCTGAGCAAGCTAATCAGTGTTTTCAGAGTAATTAGAAAGCTACAGACATGTGAGTTTTCATCAGGCTTGGATCTAAACTCTGCAGGACAGTGGCCCTCCAGGACCGAAGCTGCCCATCAGTAGCTGCGTTTCCATTACCCTTCAGATTGCGCAAATTAAAATTGCGAATTGAAAATACGCCTGATGGAAATGCGTCAATTTCGCAAAAACTCCCATATATCGCAAAAAAGTTTTTACGCTCGCATGAGGTGGTTTTTCAGGCAATTCGAAAAAGGAATATTTCGCAAAACTGCAATGGAAACTGTTTTTAATAATAAATATAGCCAAAATCCGTTGCCATGGCTTATCGCGAGAGGCAAAAGGTTCCGTTTTAGTCGCATAACATTGGTTAATGGAAACGGCGTCATTACGCAATACTTTTTTATCGACATTTATAAAATGTCGCCGAAGTTTTACACAAATGTGTAATGGAAATGCGCCTACTGATCTACAGGGTTTCTGCAGGTCTTAAAAAGGTCTAGATTCACCCTTTCACAAATTAAGGCCTAAAAAGTTCTGAAATCAGAGCAGAAATTCTTAAATTCATGAATAGGATTATCTTCCTTAGTATTTTTTTCCCTAATTTTTAAATAGCAAAATATTAAATACCTGAACAATAAACATTAAATCAAGATACACATACTTGAGAAGCAAAATGAAGTCTTGTTTTCTTAGAAACTAAAAAAAAAAAAAAAAAAAGGGCCACATGCTTACATTTCTCAGAAAACAAGATTTCTTACGTCATTTTGCTTCTCGAGTGAATGTGTCTCGATTTAAGAATAGACATTTGCACCGGAAAACATTTTTTAAATTAATTAAAAAGTAAAGGAGATCTATTGGAAGTTGTTTTTTCAGACTTTGAAGCATTACTTATACACAGGGTTGCAAAGGGGTGGAAAATTTCCAAAAATCCCTGGAATATTCCCAAAAATCCTGGAAAGTTTCCAAAATTTACTGGAAATTTTCCACCTTTTTGCAACCCTACTTATACAACACTTTTACATTTAGAGAAATGTTATTCCTTACATTTTCTTTTTAAAAAGGTCTTAAAGTCCTAAATTTACCTTCATCTATTCTAGTGTTGTTATACATAAATACAGAAGAGAAAAAAATAGCTTGTCAACTGATTTTATATACAGTCGTGATCAGAATTATTGGCACCCTTGGTAAATATGATCAAAAAAGGCTGTGAAAATAAAATTGCATTGTTAATCATTTTGATCTTTTGTTTAAAAAAATTCACAAATATCTAACCTTTCATTGAACTAAAACAATTGAAAATGGGGGAAAATCTCATCTCAATGTTTTTCTCAAATACACGTTGGACACAATCATTGGCACCCCTAGAAATCCTTATGAGTAAAATATCTGTGAAGTATTTTCCCATTCATATTTACAATTTTGAGCATACCAGGGTGATTATGAACATGAAATTATCCAGCCATGGTTTCCTGTTTCACAGGAATATAAATAGGAGGAAAAACAAAGGCCAATTCCCTTAATCATCCATCACAATGAGAAAAGCCAAAGAATATATTTCTGATATGCAGCAAAAGATAATTGAGCTTCACAAATTAGAAAGTGCAGATTTATTTTCACAGCCTTCTTTGATCATATTTACCAAGGGTGCCAATAATTCTGACCACGACTGTATAAACATCCTGATTTCTATAAAACAAACAGTATTTGTAAAAAAGCAATAAGCCCCGTGAAGCCGTGGTTTACAGTGAATTTATATTTGTTTGTTTGTTTATGGATGAACAATTCCCTTGATTGATTAATGCCTAATTTGTAAGCATTTGAGGGAAATGATTCGCTTTGTCATTTAAAAGTTTGCTTGTTTGTTAATTGATTGATAATTGATTATTGGTGGTTGACTGATTGATTCACTTGGTTGACTAATTCCTCAGTGCTTCATGTAGGGGAATTGTTTTGCTTTGTCATTTTTTAAAAGTTTGTTTGTTTGTTTAATCATCCATCACAAGGAGTAAATCCAAAGAATATAGTTCCGATGTGCAGAACAAAATTGTTGAGCTTCACAAAATAGAAAGTGGCTGTAAGAAAAGAGCTAAAGCACAAAAAAAAAATCCCCATTTCCACGATCAGGGCAATAATTAAGAGGTTCCAATCAACTAAAGATGTTACAAATCTGCCTGGAAGTAGGATGTGTGTCTATATCGTCCTAATGCACGGTGAGCAGGAGAGTTTGAGAGGCTAAAGACTCTCCAAGCACCACAGCTGGAGAATTGCAGAAAATAGTTGAGTCTCGGGGTCAGAAAATCTTAAAAAAAAAATAATAAAATCAAACCGCACCTATACCACATGTTGTTTGGGAGGGTTTCAAGAAAAAAAATCAAGAAAAGAAAATGCTCTCATCCAAAAACAATCCCCAGCATATTCTGTTGTCAGACACGACTGG